TCTCTCTTTTATCTTTTAATAATTGACTGATCCTGTTTTATTCTATTTATATTTATGTATATATTTTAACCCCATATACAGGTATTTGTGCGCGTATCGACCGACCTTTATATAAAATATTACCGGGCCCTATACACCCGTAATACCCACGCGATCGCGCTTTTATTTCTTTTTAAATAGTGTCTAGTCCACTTATATGTGCAAGTTCAGTTATTTATTTATTTCGTTATTTATTGAACTAGTGTTAAGTTATGCACATAATGTCCGCGGTAAAAATCATAATTGAATACCCGTTCCCGGACGAATTCCGCTGCCCCGAGTGCTATGAACTAATCAGGGGAAAAGGACCGGCGGGGTGTTCAAGTCGCACTCGGACCTTATTAAACACGCGAAAAAATTCCTTCGGGGCCACACACTGGAGCATCGCTGCGGCGTGTGTGACGAGATCGGCCGAGGGGGTTACCCCCTCAAGCAGATCAAAATGCACCACGCCGCGGTGCATGTACAGGTACAGGCAAGCCCTAACCTGAGCCCGGATGGGGGTCCGAGGGCGACGAGAACGTCGGCCTCCAGCGCGGTCGGATCCCGAGCCTCGGGACGAGGGGGGATCGACAGGTTTATCACGCGACCTGCGACAAACGCGGAAATCGCTGCGGGGAATGGGCGGGTGCCGGAGACGGTTACCGAAGACGACAGCCACCACCTTCAGCCGTCCAAGACGACCCGACCTCGAACAGCGGCGACGAAGGAAGCGGCTGCGACACCATCGACGACGACGATACCACCTGCGACGTCGACAGCCGCTAGCGGGGCGACCACCACCACCACCAGCCCCGCCACAACGTCGACGGTGAAAACAACGAAACCGACGGCCCCAACAAAGACGTCGACGACCCTGACGCGGCCAAGGAGGACCGCCACAGCGACGGCAACAGGTAAACCACCTCCACCTGTTCCCACTACCGTAACGCTCGCGGTCAGGCCGCGCACCGTCCCCAAAAAACCACCGGCAGCTGGGGGTACACCACCTACACCCCCCGCGGCCTCGTCGACCCTCACGACGGGGCCCTGCACTAGAAGCCGGAGAAGCTCTAGTGTGCCGGTGGAGATCCGGCCGAACATCAGCCGGACAAAAATTACGACGGTGACGAGACCTGGCCCTGTGAAGAGGACATCCCCGGCGACGACGGGGGAGCCCAAGCCCTTGAGGCCGACGCCGCCAGGGACAAGGAAGATGGCGGTATCCCCCACCTACGCCGCCGTAACAGCAGCGAGCGTTACGAGGTCGTCACAGGACAACGGGCATGCCCCAGCACGGAGAAGTGGACTGCGGTCATCGGGCAGAGCGACCTCGCTCCCCCCGGAGATGCCAGGAGGAAACCGCAGTCCACCGACGAGGGAAACCCGGGATCCGGCCAATCTGAACACCATACAAGAGGAAGCCGCGATTCCGGAGAAGGATGCGAGGGGCCCGCCCACCCTGCCTGTGACGCTCACGACCACCACCATCGCCACCACCAGCTCAGGGGGCTCCATCATGTCCCCCTGCATCCAAGGAGAAGTTGCGACACCCGGTGCTGCAACCACACCACCAGATGCAGCGCCGAGGCTCCCCCGTGTGGTCGAGGTAGAAGTAGTGGGGTCGTCGTTGGCGGCCACCTTGAAAACTATTTTTCCACCCAGTTTTGCCGCGTCAGGAGGAAGGAGCAAGGACCCATCCACAACACCGGGAGAGGCCAAGGCCGTCGGAGAAATTGCCCGTCGACGAGCAAAGAATACCGTCGCCACTGCTTGCACCAACGAGGCTAAGACGAAGTGGGCGGAAAATATTCCGAAGACTCTACGAACTCATGCTCTGTGGGTTTTGAGATTTTTACTCACTAAAAGCGGCCTCCCTTGGCACATTCTCTTTGTTGTGTGTCCCGCGGAACCGCCGTCAGGCATTACTTCGCGGGCAGGGTTGCTTAGTTTTTCGCGCTACCCTATCGTGCACTTTCTGTTTCCTTCTTCAAGTCGAAGTCGTTTGAGAACGATTACCACATACTCATCGACCGCGTTTCATGTATCTTCGGTGTCCAGCATGAGCGATACAATATTCTCGGGGATGATAGTTCGGCCCAATCTTCCTTGTAACACGTTCCTTTCGCTGTCAAAGCGATGTCAAACCAAGAAAACGTGCTCCGCGTCTACTTCAAATTTCTTGACATGCTGTACATGCGAAACTGTCATCCAGTCTGGATCAGTGATCGAGGTTTAGCTACAGTAGCCTCATCTTCTGCTTTTAGCCTTTTCCGTCCCCCATACGGTCCCTCGAGGAACGAAGCTTGTTACGAGGTAGTTTAAATTCAACACCTCAATCGAACTAAGTCAACTGCAGCCACCGCAGGAACCACTAAAGACAATGTCTCCGGAATCCTAGACAAGGTGAAGAGCAGAGCAGAGCAGGAGTGAAACAGAACATGTACGTAGTTCGGGAGATCGTGACAATCGTCAAGAACCACAAGAACACCAGCGAAACCAATAGCAGAAAACGACCCTTCTGGATAGAGGGGACACAACGAGGTATACAATCAAGATCCAACGTCTCTTTCGAGTTAACCGTAAACTTGCAGTTCAAGAGGTTCTTCTGAGCTCTTCTCAGCACTGTCAGTAGCAGGTGCAGGTGTAAATGTTGTGCCTGACCCGACTGTGCTGAGACCGTTCTTTATATGCCACATCAGATTCATCCTTGTCGATGTCCTAGTCGTCGGAAATCTTGCTGCGTGAACTTGCTGCTGTTCTGGCGAGGCTGATGGTGATGGTAGTCGCTATGACGGCTACTGGTGTTGTTTACCGTCCCACAATAGCAATCGATCAGCCAGTATAGCAGATTAAAGTGCTGAGGTCCTGTCATCCATGGCCAACGGTCACCAGTTTGAAACCCTTCTTGTGAACCAGCATGGTATTCGATGTCTTCCAAATAGAAAAGACCAACTCCAGACGAACGCAGGATGGCTGTTGTCGTGCAGGGTATCCATTAACCGACACCTATCCATTCCCTGCAGCAGTCTCAGGGTTTGTTAAAAGTTGGATGAAAAATCTGTCAATCCACCCCAAGGTCGGGGATCCAGCTGTGCTTGAAGCCGATGTCCTCGTTGCCATCGAATCTTCCACATCCGGGCTCAGGTTCCTACTTGCCAGACACGCCGCAGTGATGTATTAATGTGTGTCCCGGATGAAATTTTTTGGTTTGTTTGATGAAGTCCGTGTGCGACTTGAATACGACTTCTGTTTTCTTCCCTTGATTCAACTCGTAACATTCCAGACATCGGAACTTCTGGAACAAGTAAATGACAATAATTTTAATTATGGGCATTTCGATTAAAAGCTTACACTAAATAAATAAATAAATAAATAAATAGGGCAGGAATAATAATATTGGATAAAAATATAATAATGAAAACAGTATTACGGGTGTAAAATGTCTAGTAATTTAATTCACGTAGGGCCAGTACGAGCCCTTATATTGTCTAAACACCCCGGTAAAATTTATTCTTTATTATTAAACAAGTAATCAGTATATTAGAAAACGGTATTAAGAAGAAAAAGAGAAAGAATTCCACAACTAAATGACCCAGTAATTACAGCTGATATTTCGAAAATATTCAGAAAACCCGTTTAGTGTTGAAAATGTTAGGATATTAAAAAAAAAAACTTTCATGGTCGTGTAGCTTAACAAAAACCGTGCGTCAGTGAGGAAATTTAGAATTTATTAAAGGAACAATAAATAACTGGATTTAATTAAATATTTTTAAAAAATATCTAAAAGAATATGTTCGAAAATTAGGGACAATAAGTTCGTTTATAGTTAATAAAAATGATTATTATTATATAACTGACGAAAAGTTATTTAAACACCCCCTCTAATTTTTTTATACAATTCATGAAGACATATTAAACTATAAATTGATAACTCAACTTTAGTCAAAATCCCTCTCCAGTTATTAAACTAACAAAATTTGCACATTGTACGATTTTCATTGTATCTGTACAAATACTTTAAATTATTTTTAAGTTTGTTTATAAATTATTCATTAAAGCACACGAATATCACATGTATAAGTACATATTATGTTTTTCTTCGGCTGTATTTATTTTTGTATTTATTGTCCCGATAACTTTCACATCCTACGTAAATGTATGAATTTTGTAACTTTATGTTAATATCAAAGAAGAATGCAAGAAAGCAAAATTTGTCTGTTCAAGAAAACAATGCAATTTGATCAAAGTCCAATATTTAATTTGTGTGTATTAGACGAAACAACGTAAATCGTGAAAAAATTGGTTTCTGTGATTTGTGTCAACAAATTAATAGAAGAATTTACGTTTCAAATTATTATTATAACAGAAATAACTCGTCATTAAATATAATGTGCACGTAACGTGTATTTCATACGAAACTGAACAGAAAAGAGAATAAATATCGCTTAAAACTTACTTCTTCTTTGTGATTAAAATACGATATTTAAAACGATATTATTAAATCATGTATAATATAAAACTACATTTGTTTCACTGTAATTTATAACGTACCTTCAGAAAATTCATCCGTGAAGTATTCGAAAATTACAACGCAATGAAATTCGTTTTCACGCAAAACAACCTGCCCGTACATTATCTCAACACCGAATGTGACCGAGAGAACGGTTAAGATGTTTACATTCCGATCCGAAAATACTCTGCGACCGCCACCACGGTCAGAAGGAATAACACAAGATATCTCTCTCGTTCTGCCTAAACGAATCGTAAATTATTACTGTTCCCTTTAGTATATTTATTTATTGTTTACGTTAAATAAATTAATATAAATATATTAATATTGTTTATACGAATTGCGCTATTTAATATTCAATGAATCAAATTTTTATTAATTTTCCTATCGACGTGCTGTAGTCACGTGACATAAAACGTGCTGCCATCTTAGGAGCTGTCAAAGATTTGAAAATACTTTATCAGAGAAATCAAATATTGAGGTTACTTTTTATTTACCTTTTAGAAGAAAATACCTACATATAAACGAATCTCAGCTGTATCGATGGGAAAAATCATTATGTTCTAAACAATTGATTATCTTGCAGAAGAAAGGCCGTTCACGTTCCTCCGCGTCGCTTGTCAAAATGACGTCCAAGACGGAGGCTACACTGGAACATTTTTATATATTTAATGGAACTTATGCGAAAAAGGAAGGGGAGGCAAGTACACGAATTTAAATTGTAAAATATTTGGATATATAGAGACAATCAAAATAACTTATTGTTTGTTTTCTGTGCAGGAAGAAAAAAAGATACTCTATTATTATCCGGAAAGAGATATAGATGCTCAGATTAAGAATATAGGGTTCAGCGAAGCAATTATTAAATTTGCAGAGTACGTACATTTGCAACTACATCCTTACAAATATCCTGACGGCTTTCTTTATCGGGTTAACAAGCTATTAATGTCCTCAGATCGTTCAACCCTGGACAGCCCTGTGATTATTGTCATACACACAAAACTCGACAAGTATATTATCAACCAGAACCAAATTTTTGGATGGTAATGGTAAGTTTCCTTGTGATACATAAAGAAGAAACTGAATACATATATTGAAACTTAACATTTATACTTCGTCCACAGATTGTTGGACTGCCGTATGTTTGTAAAGAAAAAGATGGTAATAAATATATGGAATATCAGCACGATGAAGTCTCTAGCAGTGTATGCCAAGGTATATTGAAACAAGCGTACGTTATGTTCAGACTGTTCATGGGCTCGTTTGAAACTATCATCAATGATCCTGAATATGGCTCCATTATATTACTGAAACACAAACTCGAACATTTTTATTCAAGGGTGAATATATTTATGTACTTCGAAAATTTCTTTCTTTTATCGTAACTGAAATACTTTTAAGATGCTTAAGACCTTTCTCTGCAGTATCTGCTGTCCCTCAAATTGAACAACAGCGACATTCTGGATGTTTTCCAAGGCTTACAATTTTTACCTCTGGATAAGATAACATTTTTACGAGTACAGTGTTTCATGAATCTTATAGAAGCTATGTTCTCTCAAGTCAAGTACACAGCATTCTTGTATAACGATCAAGTTGTATGGTCAGTACCACTGATATTTATATATCATTATAAAGCAATAGTATAAATAATATGTAATTGTATTACTGTATAGGAGTGGCTTGGAACCTGAAGATATGCAGGTGGTTTATAGTTACTTGGTGGGGACACTTTTACAGGCACACCTTGAGAAAGAACTACACGGTGGTTCAATGCCTAGAAATTCCCCTTCGCCGTTCACCAGTTCGCATTATGGAAAGTTAGTATCTGTGAAATTATTTATCGTGCCAACTATAATACTTCATTAATTAAAATTTAATTTTTCAGATTTGTCACTGGTCCGTGCAGTATTAACGAACCGAGTCTGATTGGAAAATCTCCGACAGTGTTCATAAATTATTCCACGAAACCGATTGCTTTGTATTTGGTAGTTTATCGGGCTCTGAGTGCAACTATTTGCCTTTTCGTTGACAGTAAATATTTCGAATGTAATTACGAATCTAGTTATTGCGGTAACACTAAAAATGAAATACTTGTTTCTTTTTATGCAGGCAAAACAAGTTTATTAATGGACTTCTTCAAAAGTCTGGATAGCTTTCTTGGCCCACAATTGACTACACTTGTTAGCTCGGTCGCGGAACAGTGTGCGAAACACGTGGTGGCTACGCCCGAGTCTTGTACAAAGTACCTGTATTTTAATAAGCTCAACTTAGCGTATAAAAGCACGATACATCTGGATAATAGACGATGCTCCAACGTGCTCACGACACCTGAAGTGTTGAGGGTGATCACTGATATATACAATGACACGAATAAGTTAGTACACACCAGTTTCGTTTAACCGTCATCCATTCTCCAGTTGAAATACATTTCGTCTTATTTCAGATTGAAAGAAGCTGGCGAAATTGTCATAAAAACCATGAGCGACTATTGGGTCATAGGAAAGCTATCAAACTTGAGGGAATTTTTCGTGGTCATTCAACAAAAGAGTGCCAGCTTAATTGAGATAGAAGGTACGTCAGAATTTTCTTATACACTTATATACCATTTATATAATATAATAACGTTTCTTTCAGAGGAAGTCAAACGACTGTGCGAGAAACAATTGAAGAGCATATTTTTCCATTAATGATCAGTGTGTCATCTAGCTCAGTACTGTTTATACGTCGTATACAAGCAATATATACTCTAATCTATACCATTGTAATTACAAAAGGCTACAACATAATTTATACATAAAATTTACTGTAAAATATAAATTCTGTACATACATAATATATATTTTTAATATATTGAAACAGCTCGAACAGAGCGTAGTTCTTAGATATTTCACTAATTACTAGAAAAACACTCGCTACTATTAATCGAGCGATTCTTCTTCCTCCGTGTCTTTCTTCTTCCGAACGATGTTAGAGAATTTCTTCAATTTCGCTACAAAGAATCCGTCCATATTATGTACATGCGGATAAAATCGTTTAGTCAACTTTAACGAAGGATGAAATCTGTGCTGACGGTAGCTAGTGAAACCCTCGGTACCAAACTCCAAGCCAGTGGGCACCAGCTTAACGTCACGTTTCTTAAGCGCATAATCTACCACCCACTCGTTCTCCTCCGGAAGGATCGAACACGTGGAATAAACGATAATTCCACCTGATTCCGAGCGAGCATTCGCACAGTCTATAGCTGCCAGAAGTAACTCCCTCTGTAACGTGCAGCAACGTTGAATATCAATTTCGTCTTTGTTCGTTTTAACGCTGGGATCTTTGGAAACTACACCAGTGCCGGTGCACGGTGCGTCCAACAGAACTCTGTCGAAACCTTTGATAACCTAAAATCGATGTAATTAATATTCCTTGAACTGTCGAACTTCATCTTAAACCAAAAGTGTTTGTATCCAATAAAGAAAAACTGATTTACTGAAGATGAATAATTGTGAATGCTTACTGTGGGTAACTTTCGTCCGTCGTAGGAACAAATCACAGAATTTACGATGCCAAGCCTATGGAAATTACCAACTACAGCCTTTATCCTATCCTCGTTCACGTCGTTCGAGAAAAGTACACCTGTATTCTTCATAAGCGCCGCTATGTGCGATGACTTTCCACCAGGTGCAGCACACATGTCCAAAATCCTTTCGTTTTCCTTCGGCTCCAACGCCATAACCGGCAAAAAGCTAGACGCACCCTGTAGAATATAGTGCCCAGCCAGATATTCCGGCGTCGCGCCCATCGGGACTTGAGAAGAATACACAACTAATCCTACTTTTGTCCATTTCCCTATCGGATCCAGATTGACTCCTCTGTTGATCAGAGCCTAAAAGACAATACTCAATACAACACCGAACACGATATATTAGACGTGTCAACGAGTCAATTTTAGTAAATACTTCTGCCAAATCACGCCTACGCGTCTTTAACGTGTTCGTTCGTAACGTCATGGGCCTCTGAATTTCGCTCGATTCTAAAAATTCTAGCAGTTCGTCCAGTGGAAATATCTGCATCAGTTTCTGCATTAAGAAATCGTTGTAACTGTAGTATGTGCATAAATCCGTTTTGAGTATGTCCATGTATTCTGACCGTGATCTGTAAGGTGAAAAGAAAAATAAGCGCCGTCGAGGATTATACTATTATCTGGTGATTGTACCTGTTTGGATCACGCAATCTTTTGAAATCTGATAATATCATAATAACATCCTTCATACGTTGCTGTATATCTTTGAGATTGGTAATGTTTGCGAGCTCTTCTTCGGAGGGAAAGGTGAAGACACACTGTTGCGCCATCATATCATTCATTTCCTCATCTGCCATTTTTCTGGAAAGAAAATCGAAGGAAAATGAGGAAAAGAGAGAAACATTAAGACTACTCGATTTACACGGGATATTTACTGTTCTTTCGCTTGTTTCTTCTTCAATTTTTTATTTGCTTTTTCTATGGGCAGCAAATCGTCGTCATCTTCATCGTCATCTTCTCCTTCCTGCTGTTTATCCTGATCCATATCTTCGTCCTCTTCTGATCCATCACCCTGCTTAAATTCATAATTGCTATCAAGTTCTTTGTTACTTTCTTCAGCTTCACTTGCGTCATCCTCATCACTGTCTAATAACTTTAGTTTCGTGCTAGTTTCCTGCTCATTTTCCATTACTTCTTCATCGTCCAACATATCGTCGTCATCATCGAATTGTATTTGTTCGTCGTCGCTGCTTACACTGCCATTTGTAACTGGCACAGATTTCAAAGGTTTCTTCTTCTTTTTCTTCAGTTGTTTAGACATACTTTTGACATTCTAGAATAATCCAAAGCACGCATAGTTAGTATCATTAATAATACAGAGAATTTAAGAGTTAAACAATAGGGCTTACATTTCCATTTATTGTATCTTCTGTGACTTCGCATTTTTTCTGTTTCTTCTTCAATTGTTTGGATAGATCTTTCACAAACTAATGTCACACAGAACAAACATAATCATTATTGTTAATGGTACAGGGAGTTTAGGTATTAAATACATGTACTCACATTTTCATTTATTGTATCTTTTGTTTCTTCATGTTTCTTCTTCTTTTTCTTCAGTTGTTTAGAAACATCTTTGACCATCTAAAATAAAAAGTGTATATAAACCATATCTTCAATAACATTAAATAAAGAACCTACATTTTCATTTATTATATCTCCAGTCACTTCATGTTTCTTCTTTGATAATTTCTCTTTCAAACTTTGCTGTTTCAATAATCGCTTTTTTGCACGTTGCCTCTGCCTATGACTCAAATTCTTTTCCTCTTTCACTGGAAAATAAAATGACATGCTTTAGACTTTATCTTATGTTTTTCATTAACTTTTACTATACAGTATGCATGATTGGACTATCTGATACACACCAAGAGAATTGTATCTGTTAACATAAGTAAATAAAAGTAGAATATTCCATACCTAGAACTCCCTTTGGGAATGTTGGATCTCCTTGCTTTTTAGCCTTCCTTCCGCGCCCAGTCGGAACAGTTGTCCCATCGAATTTCGCTTTTCTTCCCATCCTGCTTTATATTTTACAATTTACACTTTTCAAAGCGAACACGTGAGTCCTAAGTTAGGACTCCTAACCTGTCGTTTCTATTTACCATGGATTACCATGAACTGCATCAACTGCATCTTACGGTACCGCCAACATTCGAAGCAACAAATGCATCGAGTAACTGAAAAGCAGATTCGTTTAGAAAAGTAGTTCGATATGCATAATTCTTCAGTATTCTACCTATATTGAATAAAGATTATGTGCAACGGAATATAAAAAAGTAATCGTTAGGTAAAAATACAGAGTTTATGAATTGCAAAAGGTACATAGAGAAATTTTACATAGACCCAAATGTCCCTATATATACGTATTAAAGAAACGTTGTTTCTCATCAACGATACACGTGTTTTGTATTGTGATGTACAGTTTGCACAGCTTTCTGCAAATTTACGTCTTTAGAGACTAAGTGACGAGTGCAGGAATGAAATAGATATATATATATATATACGTTATTCATTAAAGGTTCTATTTGGGTAAAAACAGTATGATAATGTCGTTATTATTATAAATTATCAATTTTCTGAATTACCGTGTTATATGTAGAAAAAGAATGGGGATAACGAAGCAAGAAGCACATCGACCTGGCGCGTTTAAACAATCGAACAAGCCACATAAAACTGGAAGACACCGCAGTAAAGGTTCAATAAGCAGCGATGTTAAAGGTAGTATAATTTACACTTAAACATGTCACGTGCTGACTGCTGATCTAATGTATTTTCTAATGTTACAAATGCATGATTCTATAGGCAAAATTGGGGTGAAAGGACTGTCAAAACGTATGCACAAGAATCTTGGGAAGGAAGCTCGGAGGCATCAGTCTTCGCAGATAAGAAAAAATAAAAGAGATGAAGTGTTGCAGCAGAAAAGAAATCTGGGTGGATCTCATTCTGCTCCAATTTTAGTATGCGTTGTTCCATTGCAAGAGGACTTGGATATTCAGAGTCTGTTATCCATAATAACAAAAGCAGATGAGACTGCAAGTGTGACTAATAGCCCATGTGGTACAACACACATAAGGTATATTGTTTGAAATTGTGGATAGCATTAGTTAAAATATGAGTAATTCATTGTGGTATTGTTTGTGACAGTGTACCCAGATTTAAACAACGATTTTCCATTGTTGTACCACCAGTTGGTAATGTGTTTGCCACATTGGATGTTGCAAAGGTGGCTACAACTGTTCTGTTTGTTGTTTCTGCTGTAAATCAACCAGAGAATAGCCCCAGAGAGGAGGTTCTTGATCAATGGGGGAAAGAAATCATTAATCCTTGTATCGCTCAGGGTTTAACTACTCCAGTGGTAGCATTGATGAATTTAGAGAGTCTTCAACTAAAAGTATTACACAGAAACTTATTGTAATGTATATTGAAACAATATAGTGTTTATTCTTTACATAAATTTAATTGCAGAAACGTCAGGATTATAAGAATCGTGTACAGACTGCAATCAACAAATGGTTGCCCGATGAAAAAGTCTCACAATTGGATACAGCTGTCGACGCTTTAAACGTTCTAAGACGAGTTGGTTCTCAAAAACAGAGAATTGTGTCTTATAAGAGTAAAAGACCTCATTTGTTGGTTGAAGAAGTCAAGTTTAATTGCAATGAGGTGAATTTTCGATTGATTGACTATTTACTATAACAAAACTGTGAATAACGATCGAGTTTAATATTATTCAGGACTCAACAGAACTGGGCACACTTATGGTGTCAGGGTATCTCAGGGATGTACCATTATCGGTTAATGGTTTAGTACATATACCTGGCTTTGGAGATTTCCAAATGTCCCGGATCGATGCTCCTGAGGATCCCTACCCAATAGAGACGAAACAACGAAAACATGGTGATGCAATGGATGAAGAACCCTCCGTCAGAGTTCTCGAACGTGCAGATTCAAAGAAACAAGTAATTCTGTGAATCGAAATAAAATAATTGTCTGATTTCAGTAACTAGACATAGAGATTTATTTGTTTAGGAATCTCTTGTCAGCGAAAACATACCCGATCCCATGGACGCTGAACAAACATGGCCTACGGAAGAAGAATTGGCTCAAGCTGAAGCCACTAGAAAGAAGAAAATCGTGAAAAAAGTACCAAAAGGGACTTCAGAGTATCAGGCAGCTTGGATCCCCGACGAGGATGGAGGTAACTAAATTCAATGATTATTTTTATAAAGATACATGCATACCGTATTTCTGTAATACTTCAGAGGAACTAGATGAGGAGTATTCGGACGACGAGTCGGAAGAGAGGATGTCCGTAGAGGAAGCAAAGTCTCAAGCAGATAGTGACGCAGAGGCAGAAGAAGACGAGGAGGAATACGAGACGATCACAGTCTCCGAAGCTGCTCCAGATGAACAGAAATACGACCAGGATATTGATATGATGGAGGAGAAAGCAGCTATAGAGAAATTGAAATGTATGTTCACCAGCATAAATTATGCTTTAAACCTATAACTATAAAATTCTGTTTCGAATACAGTGGCAAAGTTGGACGCACAGTTCCCTGATGAAGTGGACACACCCCAAGATACACTGGCAAAAGTGAGATTTCAAAAGTACCGTGGACTGGAGTCATTCAGAACAAGTCCATGGGATCCAAAGGAAAATCTGCCTATCGATTATGCCCGGATCTTCCAGTTTCAGAACTTCGACAGAACAAGGAAACGTATATTCAAAGAGTATCAAGAGACAGATGGAGCTCTGGTAAATTCACCAACGTTCGAACTCACCGAGTCTCTACATTGAATTGTGTGATATGACTGGTCGTTTGTTACAGCCTGGATGGTACATCACCGTTCATGTTGCAAACGTCAGAAGGGATCTTTTCACTGCGTTTTGTACATTGGAAAATCGTCCATTGATAATCTTCGGTTTACTACCGAATGAACAAAATTTAATATTCCAATGTGGGTTCAGAAGATTCACGGCGTGTCCAGTATTTAGTCAACACACAATTGGAAATAAACATAAGGTGCGTTATATTTAAACCCCTTACTTATAACTTCGATGGACAGTTCCTTTATTCCGAAAAATTGAATTTTTCTTTCAGTATGAACGTTATTTTCAACCAGAGAGCACTGTTGTGGCAAGCATGTACGCGCCAATTACTTTTCCACCCTGTCCGGTACTGTGCTACCTGGAGAGATTGAATGGATCATTGGTAAGCATCGATGACTGTCGTATTAACTGTAGTGTCCAGCTAAAATATATATTGACACGTTGTCGTGAAAGCTCTAAGTCCTCTAAAAATGTTTTCACAGGAATTAATTGCAACTGGTAGCGTGTTGTCCGTAAATCCGGACAGAATTGTCGTGAAAAGGGTAGTTCTTAGTGGTCACCTTTTCAAAGTGAACAAACGATCAGCTGTTGTGAGATTCATGTTCTTTCACCGAGAGGACATTCATTGGTTCAAGCCGGTTGAACTACGCACAAAATATGGTCGTAGGGGACACATAAAAGAACCGTTAGGTAAATTAATTTTAGATAAACTGACTTAGGTTAGATTCACGTTGGAGCTGGGATAAACGATCAGAGCGGTGATAAAGAGTAAAGTATAGAAATAGAATCTATCGTTTCCTAAGGGAAGTATTCATGTTGGAGCAGCGAGCAGAGCAACGCTTATTATAAGTACGATGAACGATAAAAGCAACGAGAAACAAATATTTCTTTTTCTTCGCTGTTATCGAAGCACCAACATAAATGTACCCTTAGTCAGAATTCGTGGAATCGAGCAGTCAGTGGTTTCTGTGATTGAGATCGAACAACAGGTAAATATATTGGATCGATGCTTCTGTTTTCAGGTACACACGGCCACATGAAATGTGTATTTAATGGTCAGCTGAAATCGCAGGACACGATCATGATGAATTTGTATAAACGAGTGTTCCCAAAATGGACGTACGAGCCTGTGCTTTTAACGCAATCATCTAATCGGGAAGAGGAGAACATGAACGTGGAATAACATCTGTCGCACAGTATTTAAATGTACATACGAATATACACAGAGGTTTTTTGTGAAATAAAATGTTTTCGTAACTATAAAAGATGTGGATTATATTTAGCATTCTCGTAGTCATCGTTCGTAAGTTTTCGATTTTGAAATACCCACCCTGTAATTGATGACAGAGCCGGTCACGTGACACGAATTCCATCCAATCTGGTTTGTCTGAATACTTTGTTTGTACCGTTTGAAAGGTGACATTTAGTTAAACAATATTTAGTGATAATTTCACCGCAAGACAATTTTGTAAAATTGCGGGACAAGTTTAAAATAGAATGGATTTAGATACTGCCTATATTGGTAACTGATATATTGGTAACTTTACCATAGAAATATTGACAGAGAATCATAAGCATAATAGACTAGGAGCTAATGAATTTTCCCATTTTGAAACGAATGTTTTCTTTATCTTAGAGCCACTGCTTGAAGACTGGTTAGAAGGTATACGAACAGATGTTAGAGAACAAGAAGATCTTGTTAGAGCGAATGACGAATTTTACATGCCTTTTGTGGGTAACTATTAATAACTATTCCCTGCAAAACAACAATTATACTTTAGCAATGTGCGCGTACATTTAATTACATTTGCAGCGATTCCAGTTCCGATCGTCAGTGCAATTTTCAAGATAACAGAGCACTTATACTTGGGTCCAGATACTAGATACATTGCCATTCATTTATATGATAAGTTTATGTGTAAATACTTCTGGGAAGTGTACAAAACCGAGGCTGCGGACCATACAGAAAATTCTTGGTCTCAAGTTTGTAGGAAGATATCCAGTCAATCAAAATTGTATCTTATGTCGTGTCTGCAATTAGCCAATAAAATGGACTCACATCCTAAAAACTTGGGGATATCGCAAGTACATACACACTTTGTCTATGAACGTTCAAACTATTTAATTCAACGCACCTTTGTTTTAGGTGCTCGATATTTTACAATGTATAGACAAAAAGTCTGAATACAACCATAGTGTGGTTTTCTTGTCGGAATTCAAGGTATTCAAAATGGTAGGATTTAGAATGCCATTTTGTACACCACTGAACTGTATACAAGTGCTATTAGCTGCAACTGGTCTAAAAGACACACCAAATATGCAAGATTTGACTATAACTTTATTAGACTTAGTCTATTTACAGGTACAGATTCATTATTACCTACTTGAGCCTTACCGTTATGGAATAATTAATGAAACAGAGATATATTCACAGCGAGAGAAACTATACTCTCATCTGCAGTGTCTGGCTCAGAGACATATTGCGAAAACAGATCAGGAGAAAAGGAATCTCATGACTTTGAAAACGAATGTATTATTTCTGGGAGCTTCAATTGTCCTCTGTGGAATTTTTTTTTCCTGTATAGATGCTGAAACAGGAAGAATCATCTCATCCAAGTTGTCAGACTTAGTAGATATAGAGTCGGATAATATTTGGGATATGGCAAATATTCTTCTTGTACTAGCAATTCAAGAATAAATGACAGTTTAAGAAATAAGTTGATTTAAACTACAGATGAGGTATAGGACACTATACCTAGTCGATGGCCTTACCTTGCCTTACCATAAGACCGTGCAATCTATTATGTACATGTATATATCTATCAGAGTTGGACAAAATGTAATCTAATTACAAAATTCAAATTACAATTACAATGTAATTATACTATAACAGTAACTATACTAAGTAACTATACTAAGTTTACAATAAAAATTACAATGTACATAAATGTAAAATTCCAATGTAATTGTCCCGCAATTATATTGCAATTACATTGTAATTGGAATTTAGATTTTCTAATTAGATTACATTTTGTCCAACTCTGATTTCTATACATTAACTTCCGCGCCAAATATAAAAACCGCGGCTTTTCCGTTTTATCTGACAAAAAACATTCGTTCTTCGTTTTTGGTTGATACGTAGATGCCCTCTATGTACCGAGTGCAACACTTTTATGATTTCTTTATGCACCACTAGGCGACGCATCGTTTATCCCTTTCTCGCAAGCATTATAGTACTACGTACTGTATAAGATAAGTGCTAAATGAGTGAATATTCATCGGAAAAATGGCATAAAGGTGTTTTCGACGGGGGTTGGAGCTACTTCCATCTTTGCTCCAACTTGTAGGGAGTGTGTAGCGTCTTTCCATCTTCGCACAACTCAAACCTACCACCGTCGTGAGTCAATTTCTGGCAGTTAAACGGCTGCCAGGATTGACTCGAAAATTCTTAATAAAAACATAACTTTGACAATTTGCATGGACAAATGAGGCTGATATGGGGTATAAAGAGTCCTTGTAAAAATGTAAATTTTCTACCAGCGTCAGACTTCTTCTGTATCTTTGCGTCTGAATTGCTACATTGTAGCAGACGTTATGTTAATAACCGAGATGATTGAATTGCACGGAAAGTTCGCGACGATGGAAAAGATCGAAGATTCACTGCCTATGTAATTATTGTAAAATTCGCATTGCCGCGTCGAGGAGCGCCTCTACCATTGGCACGCAGAATTAAATAGACATGACGCCAAACGTAGTCAGTGGATTAATGTTCTCCTGTAAACATGTAAATAAATTGTTGTCGTTTAGCTGACCAGTTCATGTGACGAACCGTGCGAGATCTGGCGTTGTATGTGTAGCTATGTACATGTAGGGCCGTAGAGTATTCGTTAGAATCCTAAACAATCAAGTGCAAAAAAAGGTGGTAAATCTAACCGTGGAATGATCCTAATGTATTAATCAGTTTTTCAGTTTCATTCGTAATTTAGGTATAGATATCGTGATATCTCTAGAGTTATATACTTGGTGATACTATTTAGACACGGGTGTACGAACTGGAAATTTGGATCGGAAAAGAAGCCAGGTTTTGCGTTTGTAAGAATATTCTGTGGCACGGCTGTTTCCCCAATTATCCAAAGGTGCGTACGAATACTGTATAGCAAGCGGTAAATTGCACGTCACTTTCTGTGTTCCCTTTCACGTGCGCAAATTTGCTACTTGGCACGCACTCGGTCGTTTTCTAATCATTTTTCTTAATTGTTCGTCTTTTACGCGTCTCTCGCATAAAATTCAGCCCTTACGTCAACACGACAGTTATACGCCGCTGAACGAAGGATAATAATTTTAATTATGTTTGACAATAATGTGGACTACTGTAATTCGTACTATACCATGTTAAATGAGGGCTGCCGGATAGGAATTTTCCAATAATCTAGTCCACTATGATTATCCACAGAATTTGTCCAACTGTTTCTACCATGTTCTTCCTTACTGATGCTATTTTAAAGAAGCTTAATCCCTTGCAGATGAATATTCCAATGTACAAACTTCTCGGAGTTGTAACAACGCTGCTTGTATGTGTTTTTGGAATTGGAACGACTGTGAAGCTGTTTGTTTGCCTGGCAGCTTTAATTTTAGGGTAAGATTCAATTCCTACAAACTGTCTAGATATTTTTAACACTTGTGTGCTTACATGAAGTTTTGTCACAGAACAATCACATGCGTGTTTAGAACCTATGGCCCGAATGTTGATGAAGTTATTAACACTGAAAGGGAAGACTTAAATAAGAAGACTGAAAAATTTCGGCAGGTTAGAATACAGAGAGATATGCAATAAAGTCATTCGACAGATAATGATTTTTGCCCAATCTAATCTTCATTACGTTATTCAGTATATCCTAGATTTATCAAAGCAGAAGATGAATATCGCATTAGACAGAAGAATCACCGGTAGCCGTATCATTGATGATTCCTTGCAAGTACATACTCACTTTAAGCATTTCACTAACTGTGTGCGTGGTCCATGTATATACATATATATATATATATATATATATACGGTAACTTAGCAATTTGCAATTTCCTTTGTATAGGAAATCTTAGATTTTGTTATCAGAGATTATGTGGAACCTTGGTACAGCGTGATTACAGATGACAAAGAGTTCGTATACTCTGTCCGGAACACTGCTCAAAAGATAGCTATCAATATTGCCAATCTGTACGTAACACAGACACCAAACTGAAGCCTTATAAACGGGGTCTGGGGCTTAATGTCTACTCAAAGAATCTGTTCTGAAACAGAGTGAAAGGTGTGGACTGGATACCATACTTAACGACTCGTCTTATCGACGATACAGCCTCCCACGTGAGGTTGTATCGGCAGGCGACGGCGAGGATGAAGCAGCTCCGCACGAGGAAATTGCAAAAAGGTAGCGCCAGCTCGTCGAGCACGTCTAGCGGCACCCCGAAGAGAACACCGACCCACAGACGAAACAAAAGCGAGACCGACGTATCCTGGTATTCTCAATCGAAGTTCTACATACCGAATTTGTCGTCCCTGACCGAACCGATTGAGATCGGTGAGGAGAAGACGGAGGACGAGTCGTTGGAGAAGATATTCTTCGATCTCGAGGTACAAATGGAGAAGAATCTGATCAGCCGGGATCTGGTGTGCACCGACAACGACCGGGAACTCGAGTTTCTCGTCGAGATATCAGAGATTCTGTTGTATCTGGTACTACCGAAAGAGGACGATCTCGATTGTCTGACTGTCAGAATTATATTAAGGGAGCTGCTAGCGAATGTAGTGATTAAACCCCTATTGGATTTATTCTCTGACCCTGATTATATTAATCAGGCGTGTATATGGCTGGTGAGTGCGAGGTTTTTAGCTAACCAAGAGTTCGGTTTAATACGGGAATATATAAATGATGTTTCTTTCAGTGTATTAAGGAGGCTGGCTTGCCAAGGGACGTGTTCTTGACGGTGATCAGAATCACGGACAGCTTGGACGAGCTGACAGCGACGAAAAGTGTAGTCTGTAAGGAAATAGCTCATTTACGTTCGAAGGAGACCGCAGCCGAGGATGATCTGTCCGTAAAACAGCAGCTGAATAGTTTACTATACGTGAAGAAAATATTAGATACACGGATCATCGCGATGCAGAAGGGTCTCGAGTCCGAGACGGACGGGATCGATGCTCAACCGGAGTGGAACAGGCTCCTGATACCTGGACAGAAGTTAGTGAACCTGCCGTTGGATGAACTGCTGAGAAATAACATAGCCCTCAGTTATTTTATCGACTACATGACCTCTATAAACGCGGAATCGTATCTGTACTTTTATCTGAACATATTCGGCTGGCGGGTGTCGGCTGAACAGCAGATCTGCGAGATAGAGCTGCAAAAATTGCACGCAGCCCAACCAGGGTCCAGTGTCACTGGAACGAAACGTGAGGTCGTCACCGATCTGGAGAACCTGAAGGAGGCAGCCACGAAGATATACCAGCAATACCTTAGCGACAAGACCTCGCCGAGGTTGCAGCTGGACGACGGTCTGGCCAAGGTACTGTTAACCCGAATAAAAACCGAGCCCGTGAACGAGACATGGTTCGACGATCTCAGAGCTTGTTGCTACGAGAAGTTACGAAGCGAGGATCGGTTCTTGCCCGGTTTCAAGCGATCGATCGCCTACGTGAAGCTTCTCGCGGAGCTGGATCTGCTGAAGGATCCGGCCGCGGAGGAGGACTCGAAATCTCTGGACAGTATCAATCTCTCCGCGACGAACAACGATCTTGGGACTCTGGTCGAGGTATCGGAGATCTATACAGCTGAGGAAACGAAGGCAGAACTGAGGGACAGCAAATCGAAGTCCAGCTCGACGACCAGTCTAGCCAGCATAACGGATGAAGCCAGATCGATCGACGATTCAGATGACGCAGAGGTGAACGTCAAGACCCTGAAAAACATGAGGAAAGCAGCTAGCGTGGACATTGATCACGCCACAGACAGCAAAGACATTCCGTTTCTCGACGAGTCGAGGGCAGAGCAGTTTGTCAAGCTGGACGAGAACACGTACGATCAGAACGCGATCAAAAAACTGCAGGAAGGTCGGTTCACGATCACAGCTAGAATTATAGAGACTGGTATTGTCAGCGACCGTGGAAAAACTTATGGTATCTACGCGGTGGCCGTAACCAAGAGCTACGATTCCGGGTACCAGGAGAAATGGCACATATACAGGCGATACTCGGACTTCTACGACATGTACCAGAAGATAAACAACAAGTATTACGACCTGGCCCCGATACCGTTCCCAGGTAAAAAAGCGTTCCATAATATGGAGAGGACGATACTGGAGAAACGGATGTTTCTGCTGAACAATTGGCTGCATCATCTGACGAAGCCGGCGGTCGTGGACGGTCATATGGGCCTGCAGAATCTGCTGTTGAACTTTCTGGAGCAGGGGGATTACGACAAAGGCGTCACCAGTGGACAGATATCGAGAACGGTGAGCTAATGACAACGAGCACTTATGGAATCGCAGGTGTGTTTTTTTCTAATGTCCTCTTCAATACAGATAGATAATCTGATGAATCCCCTGAAGACATCCATGAAAAGTGTCACCCAAGCGGTCAAGAAAACCAAGGCCACCACAAACACTGTGGACGGTGTGATGGACAACATCAGGAAATTCTTTGGAAATCCCAAGAAGCAACCTAATGTTCTGTTCGAGAACACTAAAGTTGGTGCTGGTATAGATGTAGAGGTATGCAACAAATATTACTTCTTCCTACAGAGGACAGTGGTACTATTAATCTTCTTCAATCGTAGACCGATGATAACATTCCTCTGCGTATAATATTACTACTGATGGACGAGATCTTCGACTTGAAGATGAGGAACCAATGGCTCAGGCGACGGATCATCACTCTCCTAAGGCAGATTATTCGTACTATGTTTGGGGATATAGTGAATCGTAGAATAGTGGAATATGTTTCCCTGTTGACTAGTCCAGCTAAGGTCGCTGGGTATTTGAAGATGTTCAAGTGAGTACAAATTCACGTTTGTACCCTAACCTATCTGCGCGTACGTGGCAGTAATAATAATCTGCCACCAATTCCCATAAGATGAAATGTCTACTCTTATACTGTATAGAACTTATAGCGCTGAACCCTAACCTCAATAGGTACCAATTCTTAATAATTTCATGATTCTCCGGTTGGTTCACAGAAACAGTTTCTGGCCGAATGGCGTCAAGGCAGAGAAGAAACCGCCCCGTGACGCGGAGACAAAGAACAAAACCAGGGTGGCTGCCAAGGTTGCTCTGCTGTCTTGCTTCTCCGACGAACTGAAACATATCATAGGCAGCGAGACAACCAGACAGGGTCTTTTGAGGGTGTTCGAGTTGTTCCAGCGGCCGGTGCTGAACAGAAGACTGTTGTACGTGCTGTTCGAGGGGATCGCTGAGACGATGTTCCCGGAGGGTAATCTAGTGGAAATATTCCAGAAGATGTACTCGGTCTCGCCGAGGGTGCAAAACAGAAGGGTGGTGGACACGAAGGATTCTTGTTGCCCAGGGGACGTGGACAAGTAATCTCTGCTCGATGATGATCTCGCGGTTCGAGAACAGTCTTTCTATTAAACGGTAACAGGAACTTGTGTAAACAATTACGGTTGTTGTCGGGACACGCGCGTAATTCATTTACGTCCAGAAGTTTTGCAAAATATGAGGGAGAGGTATTCAAGTTTTATCAATGCTCAAAGTACCGTAGAAAAGACTTTGGAACCAGCGTTGTATAAGCTATAGTACATGTATTATATTTCGAGGCAGCGGCGCAAAAGAACGTATTTCATGTGGGAACAAAATGAAAGTTTATAGGCTTTCGTGATATCTCGACGATTTCTATACGGTAATAATATTCGACGATAAGTAAGCGCAGTGTGTAATTCAGTGGCCAAACGATTCACCTCGATATTACGTAGAGGATAATCTCTTGATTATCTCGTAGGGGCGGGGGGAGGGGGGGGGCACGTATTAACGACTAAGCATTCCATTTGCATTTCATCATGTACTTCATCCCGGGACTATACTTCAGGTGTGATAGTCTATTTTCTACACGTGCTAGGCGACCAACTACAGACGCGAAGACACTTAAAAGGTAGCACGAAACAATCTTATACGTAACTCGTCCGGAACACGTTCAGTGCCATTCCGCGCGTAGCGTCTATTTATTTATTCGTGTAAAAAAAAAAAAGGAACAATTCGAATCTCTCCACGGTGTGTGTATAGGCTCGTGAACTTTTAATGTATCCCTGTCCCCGCGGACAGTGTAAAATTCCTTGTAAATGTCGTACGATTGTACATACAAGTTATTTCTATCGTGTGTTGAAACGCCATATCTGTCACCGTTTACTTATTAAAGGGATTGTTTATAAACCCTGTGTTCTGTCTGTCGCCACATCTTGACACGCCTCTTATTATCCTAGGCGATAATGGAACTAACCGAACGCAACCGGAAGTCCTCGAAGTTCTTACAGGTCCGATATTCAGAGAGGATTTGTGGAGGCTGATGGCCCTCTTGGGGGCGCAAGAGTTGGCAGCCGAAGAAGAACGTTTAAAAAACGATAATTGCCTCCCCGAATCGGTCAGGCCAACCACCACACATTGTCGATAAAAAGCAGCAGAAATAGGGGAGCACAGGGGGGTGGGGGACACAGAGTGGGTAAAAACAAAGGGGGTTTATTACCGAGCTTAGCCGAGGAGTGGCGCAAGATTAGAGGGGGTCTCGGAACATTAGATGAAAAGAGGACGACCGAGGGGGCACAAGGACATCCGTCTCGTCGTACGTCATACGGCGAAAGAGAGAGAGAAGCAGACATTTTGCTCCAGCAATAAACCGTCGCGATAGAAGAGGTGGGGATGCGTCGAGTTCTATGATTCAAGCGTCGCGCGATATTGCCAGGGGGGGGAGCAGATTCAAGCATTTTAGAGGCTTTTCAATCGGGGGTTGTTTCGAAACAATACAACAAGGGTACGATTTCTAAATACAATACACGATTAATTACAGGTGAGAATTCAAAGTCCCGATGAAGTTTTCTATGAATACCTTATCCACGCAGATCTGCCTTATCAACAAACCTACCTTATCAACAGATTTATCTCTCCATCTCCCCCATTTCGAAACGCTAGATACTTCCGACTCTAGACGGTCCTACAACCATACCCTTATTCATATCCACACACACCCCCACAATAGAAGAACCTCTGAATCGGTTTTGCGCGGGAAGCGGTACCTACGTCTATTAGCAGAATTGGTCGAGTGAAAAACACAGACACATATAGGGTGTTATTGTTCTAGAAAGAATCGAGGGGGTATCCGCTGTGGTGTTGGACTGCGCGCGTGGTTTTGAGAAAGGGGTTCCGCTCGGCCCCCGGGCTTCTCTGAAAGAAGAGGGGACCCAAGCTGTACGCATACATATTCACCATTACAATATACATATACACACACCGTCAAACGAAATATGAACGGGGACGAGCGAGCGTACGCACGGAACGGCGTACTAAACACGAAAGGAAAATCGATATGCATGATTCACGCACCGCGAGAGGAGGACGTGTGTCGCGGGCAATGGGGAACGAAGCCAACGTATAGGGTAGGGGCACGGAAGGCCTTAGGGGTGGGTAGACACGGTGAAAGGATCGGCTCGCCCGGGGAGGTGGCGGCAAGAGGGGAAGAACTGTCGGATGGGGAGCGTAGGGGGGAAGGTTCGAAGAGAGAGGGGAACAGAGAACGTAGAGCCACTCTTCTCTCCCTTCGATTCTCCCTTTTGCTCGGGAACCCAAGGGGAACGGAGAGCTGCTGCTGGCTGCTGCTCTATGTGCGATGAACGAGGCGGGCACACACGTAATTCTATACACACAAACGCGCACGAGGAGGGGTATTCTTACAATGCTACTACCCCCTCGGTCACTCGATCAGTCGTGTCCGACGTCCCATGCCGTTGGAAGCCATCGCGCGCAGATTCTCGTCGTTCTGGCTCGACACACGTCGCGGAACTAAACCGATTTCGGGTGTGCTTTTGATTTTTTTCAACGGACGTGTCTCTATCGACGGATAGAGAACTAATGGAAAGAAACACACGTGTTCTTCTCACCGATATATTCCGTGGGCACGAGGGGGGACACCGCTGGCCGGCGGACGTATCGGTTCCGGTGGGGGGGGAATTTGAACCGCGGCGGTTTGGCCCGCGCGTCCTACGACGCGTCGACTCGTAGAGGACGAGCTGAAACAGAAGTGCGCGAACGCCTCCTTGTGCGACGACGGGGATCCTGCGAGTGCTGCTGCTGGATGGTTGTTCCTTAAACCAGCCTCTATTGCGTCGTTACGGGACACTTATCCGGGGATCCTATGGGAATCGCAACCCCCTGGTGTCCTCGAGCAGGTAAAAATCGTTTTGGGGTAACGAAGATTATTCGAATTCTCGACCATTCCTTCCTTCCTTCCCTGGGCTGGGACCTGTAAAGTACTTCCGGTTAGGTGGTTGAATTCTATGGGAACTGGTTTGTAACTCGAAGCGTCGAAGGAACGACAGAGAAAGAGGATTCATGTGGGTCCAGTTCCGTGAGGAGGCAGGGGGTGGTTCCGAGTGATTTCGATGCTAGGAGCGCGAGGCGTCGTGACGCTCGGACGGTGCGCGTCGATTCCTAATCCTAGGTGACCCTCGTTCATCGATTTTCAATTTTTTTCTCGATCGATTTCCTTGACTGACAGCCATACGTGTAACGCCCAAGCGAATAAAACGAGAGAACGATGTCGGGTTGCGGTCAGCTGGGTCCGGCTCGCCGAAACAAGATACGCCTGGGACTTAAAATAAACAAACGGCAACGTGGATAGAAGCTAGACCCCCTACCCACTCCGTTACCGATCGGTTGTCGATTCTATCCGGGGAGATCTGTCTCGCACGCGAACACTGAAATCGGGGGAACTATACTCTAGGTTGAACAAGCTCTCTTTCGATCAGGAATAATTGACAAAGTGGTACAGATAGAATATTCAGAGACATGGAGGAACAAGATAAAGTAATGTTTCGATGAGTGCGACGTACTCTGGTCCAGTTCGGAAGCATTCATGGAAAAAATTTGCAGTCTTTCATAAATTTGTTTTTTTCTCCCGAAGCCAAGCTTCTGCTCAGCTTTTGTTTAATCTGTTTTGATTGGCTCCACATCGGGGACTCCCCCAATGGTGGGAATGACACTGTTGCTAGTATCGCATTCATTGAGGGATCACTGTAACTCTTTTCATGATAAGAGGATTTAGAAGCATCCATATAAGAACTAGAAAATTTAAGACATTCAGGGTCCTCCGAACTATACAGAAGGTCTTCTGCACTATACAAAGTCTTCTAAACTATACAGAGGATCCCCTAACTTCTGTACTAAGATTTATCGTTTCGACCCTCTCTACTAGGACACAGAGCAATCGACAAAATTGCATTCCTCGAGTGAAAAGTGCTTAAAGTTGGATTATCCTTACAATATCTGAAATATCATGGAAACGGAAAAACGGTTGGTAGCGACCTAAAAGGGCCGAACAAACGGAAAAGCTGTCGGATAAAAGTCTAACGACCGATGAAAACACCTGCCAGGGAAATAGGCACACGAGCATCTGTCTCCCGTCGCCTGTTTTCAGCTGCGCCTTTTCCCCGCGTGTGGACGTCGATTAATTGGTTAACTAGGATACGTTCACGGGGACGATACCCACCGGGAGAGGGGAAGGAGAGCTTGCTTCCGTGTGCGCATCTGTCGCCGCGTGAAATTGACATGGTCGTCGTCGAAATCGACACCGCTGCCAGTTCTTGGTCCGCGAGACAGAGGTATCGGTGTCGTTTAAAGGGACTCCAAACATGATACACGCGGCCGGATTAGCTTACTTCTAAAGAGACACAACGACGACGACTGGTTTATCCTAGTTCCTCTTGCTGCGAAGGTCGTCGCACCTCGGAGAACACTTGCTCCCGTTTTAAACCTGGAACGAGAAAGAGGTTGAAAAACGGGGCTGGGCTATCGGGTTTCTAGCGAGGTATTCGCAGAAAAATCTCTCGGATGAATATGAACGATATACCAGTACATGGTTTCAGAAAAGCGGTCGACCTCCGGATAGATCGGTTCCTCGAAGGTCCAATCAAATGTCCCGCTGAGGCACCTGAAATCGTTTAGAGTTTGAGAATGTAGTAGTTGAAAGGATCAAAAGACATTGAATGAAATGATACTTAGAATTGTGGGCTGCAGGAACAACTGAACCGATGTTTCTTAGTGATTTATCCAAAGATCTAGAACGGGCATGACCGAGGATTTTGCCTTTTGGGGTCTAGAATGTTTAAAGTATAAAGATGTCAGAAAAATGGAGAGACTGAAGATTGGTTGGACCAATAAGTGATTCACTTGGTTATGTATAGACTGCGGATTTTATGCATTTATAAACTCTAGGACTCTGTGAAATACAATAAAAGACAAAACTTAACTCAATAACATTGAAAAGAAGATAGAAATTCTTACTTTTGTTCTTGTCTTCAAGAATTACTTTATAAAATTTTATTTTGCATAAAAATCCGCAGTCTAGTTATCTCTTCTGAAACAACCAAAATCTGTATGCTATCTTGACAGTATTCCTTGTTCCTTTCCATTGTGTGCCACCTTTTCTAGTGAACAGAAGTTTCAAGCTGTATAATTACCATATCAAAACCATAGTATTGATTACTTATTAGTGCGTCTAATATTCACCTTCTCTTACCAAGGAGGTATTCCTCTTCAGATGTACGGTACCACCAATCAATATATCTTCATTCATTCCAAACAGTATCTTCCAGTCATCCATTTCCATCACACAACCTAAGAATAAATCAACCATTTGAATACCAAACTACATACCACACCAATTGTCCAAAGTTGAATAAAAACCACCTATCAGAAATATACAATATCGCCAATTACATCTTCATCACGATTATGGTTCAAGCAACCTACCAATAAACATTTGAATATAAATTACATATAGCATACAATGGGAAACAAAATGGACCAGTCACACCATGATGTTCCTAAAAACAGATGACCGAGCTCATAGGATCAGAACAGAAACGGAGTCGATTGATCCTGCTGGTCCAGCAGAGAGTCTTCAGAGACGAGGCTCTGACAGGAAGAAGATACTAGCACGCAAGAGGCGACGACAGCAAAAAGAGATAGATAGAGACAGAGACTGACAAAGCATAGGTGGTCGCAATTTGCACCTAGAGCACAGAGAGAGCAGATATCTAGTATCCCGTCGTATTATTACGCTCGAGGGCGTTCTCGTGAGGGGAAACGGAGGTCCAGAGATGGCTGGCCTGGCTCAGCGGCCGGTAGAGGACGGGCCGGCGGGTAGGTGTAGGCTTACTTTGGACTCTGGTGTGGGATTACCGTACTTATATTCAAGTCTAATATTAAGTTACCATTTTGCTTTACGGCAAGTGAACAGGCTGCCTGCATATAGGAAGCCATCCGAGCGCTCGCTGGGACAGTATGTCTGGCTCGGCCGTCTGGGCCCACCTACCGACACAACAAAGCGGGGCGCGTCCAGAGACCCTACACTCTTTGATGCATCCTTCAAAGTGTCGCCTGTCTGCCTACTGTCCAAACACGTTCAAGAAATTCCCCTTAACCGTCGGCGATTTCGGGGAAACACCGAGTGTTCAAAAGTTACATCGAATATATTAGGCGCGAGTGGTGTCTACAACGTCGACGTCGTTGCCCGCTGACCAGTGTGAAACCTTTTGTAAGGCAACAAAAAGCATCAGCTCTGTACAGAACGAAAAAAGGAGACCACCATGAGGAGGATGATATAAGAAGGCAGAGGTACTGACTTCTGTGCGTGCTGGGGTTTTACGTGGACTTCCTAGCACCATTTGAAATCAGTACTACTCTTCTTAGCAAACCACCGACAGGGGAGGAGAACCGAAACGAAGCCTCGGAAACGACAAAATGATGGGATACACGCAAGAAAACGGCAAGCCCGGGTTTCGTCGTTATTTTTTAAAACTGTTTACCAGTCACTTTATGTAGCCTCCCCTCTTTCTCTTTCGTACAAGTGTGTTTTAGGTATCGTTCGCCCGTGGTTACAAGCATATTTTTTTTTTTTGTGCGACGACACGATTCGTTATATACGGTTCTCGCGCGCGATTACTCCCACCCTTTCTTGTGTCTCGATCGCACTCTCGTGTAATTACAATCATACGTGTATAATATATATAATATATCTATATATATATATATAAACGTTAACATTTATGCGAGTAATCGTTACATATACACGTCCGTCCGTTTACGCGCCGGTCACACGGGGTGTCACCTTGGTTTCATTCTTTTGCGGTTCTCCATTATCGTGGCACGCGATCGATCACAGAATAACACCCGGGGTGGGGGAACGTAAACGGATCCTACACAACTATTTAGCGAGGCAGTATGGAACATCGTAATAAATAAGGTAGCGGCCTTACGGCCAGGGCCGCGACGATGGCATAACATGAGAATACGCCCATCCTATATATGTACAACGTACGTGCCGCTGGTGATCATGAAAATGGCCCTTGAATCAAGTGACTGAAAATATATATTTCCAGGATTTCTTTTTTTTTTTCTTTTTCTTTTCGTCCGGTTGCTTATTGTCAGGCCACTTTTCATAATCTTTGGCACGTGTCGCCTGTCCTCGTCGTTTCTGGACCAGCGAGGAGCTCTCGAGCAGCTACGTCGTCGTCGTCGTGGTCAGTCCACGCTCGAGTTTTCATGAAACGACCGAGGACAGGCACACAGGACACTGTCGAACCGGAGAACCAAGCTGATCCAGTTCGATTCGATCGACTGGAACGAGTGTACTCGACGTGCAAGACGATCCTGGGGAACTCTTGTCAACTGTCCGGCAGTTAGGTGGAGTCCTTGCGCCGACTGGTCGCCTGCAGCCTCGTCCAGGTGTCGCCCAGGGCCTTCGCGAAGTGATCGTCCACTACGGGAAACCGGAGAAAAAAAGGTGAGTCACATTGTCGACATTACATAATTACTTATATAGACATAGACTGGGGATATTTATGGAAATTCACAGTTCTAGAGAGTAATGTATGAAAATTCAAATTGGATAAGATGGTATTTTCTGTATTGGAAGTAATACTAAAGGTGCACCAATAAGTAGTCTACTATTTTTTTTGTGAAACTCTTAATAGACTAATGAAAATCCTATTTTAAAAGAAGATTGGGCAGATATTCTGGATCAAAAATATATTGGAACTATGGAGAATTACTTATTGAGACAGCTAATATATTTGAATTCTCCAGGAAATGCTATGAATGCATAAATATCCACAGTCTATTTCCATGATTTTATGTACAGATTGTATTTCACCTAACCTAAAGCATCGCTATTGTCTCAGGTGGAAAAGTTAGCCGAGACACCCTGTATAATTTGGCTGTATGGTTATACCACTAAGGCCGGCCTCCTTGTCGTTGCTGGTGGCATTGAAGACTGCAGCGTACTCCTCCAACCCCAATGATCGTTTAAAGTGTTCGTCTATTGCAGGGTCGCTTACCCCTCCCACGGTTCTCACCCCGGTCCTCTGGCCTCCCGTGGCTGCTGAGGGTGTCAGGGTTGGCGTGGGTGTCCCTGCCGTGTCTTCGATCGTGGTTCCTGGTAAATAAAAATCTTATTATTAAAAAATCCTCGTCCAACAATCTATCATTATGACTAGACTGTGGAACTTCATGCAAATGTACAATTTTAAATACTGATATATAAACATTGACGAATATAACTGTAAATCCTACACTAGCTGTTTTACTGCTTCAGTAACGAATTATTACTAATGATACATAATAAATAGTGTTGAACTTTATTAGCAATTTGGGAGATGCTATAGATGCATAAACATCCCGAATTTAATTACTGCAATTGTATCACTGGGGCTCCATTACAGTGGACCCATAACCTAACTTCTTTTAGTACAATTTAAATTCTATGAAACACACAGAGAACATTAGATATCAAAGTTCCTTAAACCATAATTCCCTTGATACTCTCCGTTCTATTAATTACTCAAGGACAACTGCAATGTTAACCTACAGAAGGCAGATGTTTATAATGTAAACCTATATGCTTCCTTCCTTTTAAACAAAAGATTTGCTTTCTAGACCTGACATGAACTCCTAGTTAAAATCAGATACTACACGTCCTCTGAAAACTCTGGTCCAGACGGGGGCCCAGCCGTTCCATCTCCCTTTCCCAATAAATAAACGATCTAGTAATTTTGAAAGCGTATTTCATCTTTCTTTGCTTTTTCTTATTTATGAAAAATTAAAAATTATGTAATTGCATTTCCAGCACAAAGTAAAGCTGTCGTTCCAAGGAGCCAGAGAACCAAGGAATTCTACGAAATAGGGAGATCCCGGTGAACATAGAATTCAGTGGGCTGGGTTGGCCGCGCATCTGCGCCCCGTGCATCAACGGTGCATTGTTATAGGACGCAGTCACCCCTCGCTCTGGGACAATAGGGGCTGGCTGGGGGAGAGCCTCCCCCTCTACAACCGCGGAACAAACGCAACACGCCTAACGAATCTGGAGCCAGAGAGCCACGCGAACAACCGTCTTCTTTTCTGTCTCTCCCTCTCTCTATACAGGGTGTCCACAAAATAGCTTCGACTCCGAAAAATGAGAGGTTCCTGGGATGATTTGAAACAACTTTTTCCTTCATGAAAATGTTATCCGAGGCTTTGTTAACGAGATATTAACGAAAAACCCCGACCAATCAGACCTTGGCCGACAGACTTGCGCTCTGATTGGTCGGGATTTTTCGTTAATATCTCGTTAACAAAGCCTCGGATAACATTTTCGCTAAGGAAAAAGTTCTTTCAAATTATTCCAGGAACCCGCCATTTTTCGGAGTCGAAGCTGGTTTGGGACACCCTGTATTATTTATGGCTCTTACCAGGCTGCGGCGTGGTTGGCACGATCACGCTCGGCCTGGTGTGATGGTGATGATGATGATGGACCCTGGCTGCGGACATGTCGAGGGCCTCGCTCTGGATGGGATCCCTCCTACGATCTTTGCGCCACGCGCTGCTCGGCTTCCGGTGCAGATTCGTCGCCTTCGGTCTCTCCTCTGGAAAATATCGAATATCCTCTATCAGTATCGTACAACGTTCCATGATTTTTTCATATTTAAACCTTTGACTACAGACCACCATTTCTTTAAACTCAGCAGGGTTATAGGGGACCTCGATAAAAGGATTGGATAATTTTTCGTTTTGGATGATAGTTGTTCTTTGGGGTGAAATCATCCCTTGAAGGTAAATGTGTCTTTTCATATTTTCTTGTGTATCTTGGAAACTATAGCAGATATAAAACAAACTGTTAGAATGGAAATTTAATGGATTTTTATACCCTATTGTGCTGTGCAATAAACGTTGTTAAACATTTGTTTTTTAAATAAATAAATAAATACATTTTTAGTCATTTTATTGTACCATTTTATAGAGCATAAGAGACCATTAAATTTTGATTGTAAAGTTTGCAAGTATACAGGTAAATAGGAGAAGACATATTAACATTTAAGGGATGGTTTTTCATTCAGTAGTCAGGGGTTAATGAGATTAAAAATTTGGTTTCTTCTAATTTCTTTCAGAGAGGAAGGAAATACTATTTTAACCACATATATTGGATGTGCGAATAAGTAATCCACCGTGTGTAGTTATTATAAATTGAATACGTTTTATTTTCTAGGAAGAAAACTATGGTGACTTCAGTGATATTTGTTCTTGGTCTTTGAAGTTCTTTACCATTTTTTAAGGGAAGTGGAATGGTGGACTATTTATTTTTGCATCTAATAATCCTGCACCGAGACATTTGAATATACGGGTGGTCCAATTAAAGTGTTACAGACTATTTTCTGGGCCTTTTGTAAATGCATCGCGAGAAAAATTCTCCAACGAACGCATATGCAAAATGTAGACGTTTGTCAATGAATAGAGAATATACAATAATAAAAAATCCTGGAAGGAAATTCAAAGATATATATTTTTATATCATAATCTATTAAAATATTTTCGAAAAAACCTGGATGTGTGCAAATATTTTTTTTACCAACTATATATTATAAATGCATAAATCTCATATTCTCGTGTCGATCTCAATATTCCCGACGAAAAGCTGCGATAAAACGAGGAGAAAGGTCCAGCTTTCGTGCAACCCTTACAGCCCTAATATTGCCTTGTATCAATCTACCACAATGAAAGATCCATCGACTAAAAAAAACATATAATAAATACAAATTGTTTGTAAAAACCACAGGTCTCGACCATACGCGATTCCAGCAACCCTCCGAAGGATCTCGAGAATTGGCGAAGCAGTCGCGAAGAGTAGGAGTAGGGAGGAACAGCGGAGAGGTGAGTCAGGTTCCCAGGATGGGGCAGGAAGTGCCTAATAGCCGTGAGAGGATCGTCAGGAAGAGGACGGTCAAACTGGTTTAAAGGCAAAGGACGAGGCACAAAGAGCGGGGAAAAGATGAATGGAACCTGGTTCCTCGTTTAACCAACTTTCTTTCCAAAATTCATCGAAACAACCTTCTACGAGGATCACACTCTTCCCCAGCCTTCAATGAACGATTCCCAAATAGATCATAATCATAGATCGTTAGAAAATCAGCTCGAAAAACGCTACCAGCACGTACCGACGGTCCCGTAGACCGATCGAAAGTTCTCCGTGTTGAGCCACGGCTGCCAGAAACAGCTTCTTCTGGACGAGACCTCCATGGATCGATCGAGGGTTCCGATAACGGAGGTGTACGGTTAGAAACAATATATATATATATATATATATATGTAAAAATAGAGCACACACACACACCGTGGTCCAAGTTCGTACGATCGAAACGTACTCGAGATAGTCCATACACTTGAGAGGATTCACCGAAATCGTTTTGATCCAGGGATCTTCAATTCACCGAAGAAAGCGGCCTCCATCGTGTCCTCAAGCCCGACGTGTCGGCAGATTCGATGCCTTCGATCGATCCTGACGACCACGACGACACGTCAGGATCCATAGATCGTCGGGATGTGTAACATGATCGAGGCCGGAAAATAACGCGATCTGATATATGTACAGAGATATATACACACATACACACACGCACGGTAGATGATACTCTCTCTCCGCACGAAGGAGATTCGTTGCCGAAAAGAGCCCGTAGATTCGTGAATGCCCCTCTTACGCGACTGTCTTAAGATTCATTCATTCATTCGACTCGTCCTGTCGTCTGCAGCCCCCACCACGCGGCCCCTGGGGAACGCTGCCCTTTGCACACGGCCGCTGCGATCGCCGCTCGATCCTGGGGCCATGTCATCGACTTGCAGATAAACCTTTTTTTCTAGGTTTTTTCGTTTGATTCTGTTTTAGTTAAATTTACTAGATATTCGGTTATAGATACTCAAAATTCAATTACGATTGATTCGCTGGCATCATATTGAATCGGTTCAAATTTAAACGTTTTCCTGCCATTTTGTGATATCGAAGTCTAGACCTAGTTTTCTAGTTAATTTAGTTCAACGTTTTTCAGTTAAATTACTAGATATTCGCTTAAAAATACACAGAATTCAATTATAAATTGATGTTAGCACACGCACACGACAGTTCAGTCTCATTGAGTCATCATCAGATCACAAGTCAGTCTCATTGAGTCATTAGCGCATGGAATTGGTAATCGACGTGTCCCAGAAAGAATGCACAATGGCATTTGTGCAACCTAGACACAAGGACCATGGTTTAAACTCGAAAGTCTCGGCTCCGAGCAGACCCTGGAGAGACCAATATGGATACCACACCCACGTTTCTCCAGAGGCTGCTATTGTTCGGTGAACAAGAAGGCAAGATCAAGGTGGTGTGACGGCCTGATCTTCGCGGGCCCTGTGAGCCATCGGCCAAGAATCCGTGGTATTTTAATAGCGCCAGGTAATCGCGCGCAGTTATCAGACAGACGTTCTCCCCGTTTAACAGTCTCTCTCTCGCGGGGCCCGTGTGGGCGTGAACTCCACAGAACGCGGGGCCCAAGCCGATTAACACGCGCGCACATATATAACCCTCGTCATCCTGTGGCCTGGTCAACGGCGACCCGTCGGATAAATCATCACCGAAATTACTTACACAACGACGAGGAAAATAATTAAGAGGTTTTTCTACGGGTCACGATTGACCCAACCATCGGCCCGTACTCCGAGAGTTAAATAAATTTAATTTCAGTATCGATAAGCTAGCTGTGTTCCCACGGGTTACGATTGACCCAGACGTCGGGGCTCTGATGGGCTGCACTCTGAGAATTAAATACATTTAATCCCAGTACCGAGAAGCAATCTATTTTTCAAGAATTTGCCAAGATTCAACAATATTTTTAATCAGTGAAAAGTTAGTATCTTATCGTTTAGTTTAATATATATCGCCTTATAAGCCAAGAATTATAATAGGGATTGCTTTTTGGTACAGAGAACATCTATGACTGCTAGTGTATACGTACTATAACTGCTCCTATTAACTGTACAAGTACGTTAAACGTTAAGTCGAGTCTATACAGAGTCAAATGATAGTTGACGCAATCTTTAACTCCCAGATGATGAACATGGGTCACTAGAAACCCACAGAACCTAAGCCTACAGTTAGAGCTAAAAGTTTCGACGATACTTCAATTCATCCGTTCGGTATGGGTGAGAAATGACCCGGGGCGCATGTATCAACAAGTTTCGCTAATTCGTTAACGTTTACCACACGGCTAAGAAGCGTGACCATCAGTGAGGGCGATTCGCGTGCGAGGAATGCGCTGAATTCGAGGACGAGAGCGGAAATTAATCCACCGGGTCATCCGATCGTGTTACCATCCGGTGGATCGTCTTCGGGCAATTAGAACAGAAGAAAAAAAAATGTGAAAAATCAGTCTCCGACAGATCGAATTTAACGAGACACCGCGGGGCGCTTTTATACAGCGAATGTGGCCCGGATTAATAATTAGGAGATTTATGGTTAAAGGTTATTTTTGGAACGGCCGCGACGGAATTGGTACGAGAAAGTCTGCGGTGCTTGAACAGAGTCGAAGCTCGGCATTCCATCACAACAAACAGCACACAGACGAGTCGTCACATTCATAAATATTCTCACGATGGATACACACACAACTGAATCACAGAGGCTTCTTACGATCTGGTATTTCGTCCGATAGGACCGATCACATTTCCATAAATCATCGGGTCGCCTGCGTGACCTCGTTCGTCAACACTCCACATGTTTTCCTTATTAAATCACTGGAGGATCCTAGTGGGAATGCTTGAAGTTCGTTTTAACACGCATGCCCTCCCACATCGAGGTTTCAGGTCCGTGGAACCGCGCCTTAAAAAGTCGGTCATGAGCAACTTCTGCTGTGGTGAGAAATGAATAAATGGTCCTTATAAGAAATGCACGATGGACACAGTTGCGGATGACTCAACCCTGTAGATCCTCCAATTATTCAAGGACCTATTACACAAAACTATTACGTCAACGTTAGCTACATGGAAAGAAATGTTCCTTAATGTATCGATCGTCCCATAATTGGAGAAGTTATTTGTGATTCAACCTAACGTATACAGTAAATCCCCGATGAGTGTTCCAAGGCTCCTCCTCGGCACTCAACATTAAATATTTCATAAACTAATGGTCATATGCGACTCAAACAAATATCATTGGCTTCAGAATTTCAAATCACTGTGCTAAAGGTCAGCGTTAGACATGGGGACCTCTTCTTGTGAATGCAGAGGAACCCTGGAACACTCATTGCGGATTTACTGTGCATTCCACTTAGATTATGGCCATATCTGTGGTATAATCAATAAAATTTTATATCTAAAAGGGAGATTTTAACGAAACAATAAGAGATTGTAATCTGACTACAGACTATTATGCCACCCATGTTGTGCTGCGGTTAATGCGTTGGAAATGAAATAAACATCTCGTCTAATTATACAGTAACCTCTTGTCACCTCGACAGAGTCCAAAAGAGCTCTGGTGGGTCTCCATAGGAAAATAGGTATTTGTATTCCCTGCGATACTGGAAGAACGAGCCTAAATACACAGAAGTTTATCGATCGGGACCTGATCTGTGAGATAAGCGATGAAGGACCGTGTGCACGTCTGAAGAATTCGGAGGCGGTGATATCCCAAGTTTTCCCTCGAATTACCCGTCGATCAACAACGACGCTCCCGTCGCAATTACAAGCTTATCTCTCGGGCGGGGACACACCGATTGCGCGTTTGTTTACGCTCGATCGCGCGTATCGCGTGGCACGACAAACGAAATGAACTTTCCTCTTGTGGATTCGTCTTCAAAGTCTCTGATGCTCGAGAAAAAAGAGAGATAGAGATGAAAGAGAGGGAACAGTGTAACAATGATAGGGTAGATGTCCCAATTACTACCTTAAGATTGTACCGTAACTTCATTTAATCATTTCACGTATTATTTAACCTTAAATTCCTCAGTTTAGAACATAATATTGTTTAACATCTTCTTCATTAAGAAAAATAGCTTTATATCTTAAATATGAAGAATTAATTGCAACTCCAGTGTCCCTACAACCGTCACCTCAAAAATTAGAATAATTTTTATATACTTTAACAATTCTGCACAATAGATATAGATTGAACAGTAAGATTGCAGCTCTTTCTCTAAATAGTATGATTTCATCATAATTTCCTATTTACATACTCCCGTTTTTTAACGCCCAAATTGAATTCAATTTTTTAAATACCAGACACAGTAAGTTTCTTATGGTAATCAGAGTATCAACTTAATAATAAAATTGTCTGTATTAAATTCTTTATACCTATTTATTAAGTAAAATAAATGAAGTGACAGTAATTGGAACATTCGCCCCCAGATAAAATCGGAACGACGAATTGAAAAAGAAGAAAGAAAGGGGATCAGACCGATACAAACAATCTCCGCTTCCGTGGCCACGTGCGCGCGCGCGCAGGCGATTCGGCTCCAGGGGAGTAAGGAACAGATCTCGAATAGGCAGAAGAAGGAAGGAAGAGCCTCGACGGTGCGGCAACGTGCGTGCATGTGGAGAGAAGCGGAATCTAAAATAAACACACTGCACAATGTTATCTAATTCGACGTGAAATTGGCATTTGCGTAGGAATGCGGGCTGCTCTCTAGCCGCGGAACTGGGGCGAAATATCGCAGGAGCCACCTCCCTCTTCTTACATAAATCCTCCCGGTTTGCGTTCTTGCACAACGAGGTCGGTTCCTCCTCCCGACCGAAATAAATGCACACCGGGGATGGTGGTTCACACTAGGGAAGGGAGGTGGATTAATTGTCCCTCGCCTCGAAATTTCATTAGAATCGTACAGGGTGTATACATATACTCACGAGCAACCTCGGTTTCCGCTAGGGGAAAAAGTGACATAGAAGAAGGGCCTTCTACCACTTGTACAATTATTTCAAGTAATAAAGATTACAATAAATTGCAATAACTCCCGATACCAAATTGTACGAGGCCCTTTCCCTA